TCTTCTAGTAATTGGCATCACTAGATTTCAAGTACATCAATACCAAAACACATGACTAGATTGGCATCACTAGTTTTCCAATTCTTCTTGGTAAATGATCATTACGTAAGATTTTAACTTATATAGTCTCTCACTGACATGACTAGAACAAGAATACTACTGAAACCATGGAGTTTTGGTTTGTTGGATAAATGCAACACCAACATGGAGTTTTGGTCATGGAAAGTAACAAAAAGGCACAAATGTGTTGAGCTGCAAGAACATATACAAAAACATATGCTTATGTTTCTTAATCTACATTTCAAGAGTCCTACATTGTTTAGAATAGAAATAGCAGCAGTATTTATATAATAAACACACACAATCGTTTATTAATTGAAAATAGAATGAGAATAAATGGGCTATAAGTCCAACATATTTTATATTAAATTAAATTTTTGTTTAAGTAATTTCTTAATTTAAAAACAAAACGAAAATCATTAATAAATATATATTCTGTAAAAGTTTAAAATAAAATAAAAATTAAATAAGTTATGTAAAAAAATAAAATAATCCACGTGAATTTTTAAAAATAAATTAAAAAATAAAAAATTCTTATAGGGACTAACGAAAACTCGCTAAATAAAAAATTCTTAGAGGGGATTAATGAAAACTCGTTACAATGGCAGGAGATAACATATATTTAATTCTAAATTAAATTGATTATTCAAATTGACACATTAAGACAGACTTTTACAATTCTTCTCTTTCACGCTCTAAAGATTTAAAGTTCATTTGTCGAATATACCAATCATATAAGTACTTCACTGGAATCTTGAGTTTTCTATTGTATGAAGTTTGATATGTCTTGAAGTTAATCACCATCATTAGAGAGATGTAAATATTGTTAGAACAAGATTTGGTTATGGAATTTTATCTCTGAGTATTGATGATAACAAATAATATGTTTGTATGAACAATTTTGGTACTCTAATATTTGTTATTTTGAGTATTTAACAAACAGGTTCTGCTTCTGATAAAAGGCACTGCCAAGACAATAAAAGAGACCAAGTTTCGCTTCTGCGCTACACAAGTTCTGATGCACAGTAGCAAAACACTTCAGAAGGTTCTGAAGTTGTGACTTTGATCCACATCCAAAAAACCAGGTTCTAAAGATTTGAAGATATAAGTTCTGACTGAAGTCCAGATGCTGAAGACTTATGTTTCTGAAGACAAAGGATTCTCAAGACCAAGTGCTGAAGATTTTGAAGACTCTGAAGACTTGAAGTTCTGATGACCTAAGGTTCGATAAAGGGTTATGAAGACAAAGTTCTGAAGATTCTAAAGACTTGAAGTTCTGATGACCCGAGTTCTATTTTCTTACTTCTAACTCATGCTCATCTGAAGCCTCTAAAGTCCAGAAGATAAAAAGATAAAGTTACACATAGTACATGGTACAAACAAAGATTTCATTCCACTACCATGAAGGACAGACGCGTTGTATGATCTTGTTCCCCACTATGTTTCAAGATGCCAACTTTCTGGAAGTTTCAGAAATACCCTCCAACGATTATAATATTTTATTGGCTATATAAAGGCTTGAAGACTTAAAGAGAAGGCTGCTAATTCACGTTATTACAAGACTGTTCATAGCATTCCTATTTCTTAAAGTCTAAATTAATGAAATATTATTTACTAATCCTCTTATTTAGAAGCATATCTTTTGTAAACAAATCTTGTTCAAACTATTGTTTGATTGTGCCTTAAGAGACCAGTTGATCAGAATCCTTGAGAAGTCTAAAATTAGTGTGTCTTAGAGGTTGTAACGTTAGTCACTTGCATTTAGCTTGTGCATTGTAATAATATGTTGATTATTGGATTAAGACCTTGTTGAGAAAGGCAAAATCACCTTGGCGGATGAACTAGACTAGCTTGATAGTTTTTCAAGTGATCTAGTATAAACACACCTTGTTCTTTACTTCCTGCATCTTATCTTTATTATCAATAAGTGAAGAAAATATTTTTAAGTTAAAGGCGATATTTTCAAAGAATTTTTTTATTTTAAAATTCAATTCAAACCCCCCTTTCTTGTGTTTTTCACACATTCAAATATATCATTGGTGATAATAAACCCTAATTTTTTATTTAAACTAACTTTAGTTTGATTCAGAAGGATAACTTGATCTTGATCAACCAAATTGTTCATCTTTGACCACTTAAGATAACTTTAGTAATTTATTTACTTCATGCATTGTTATCATCAAAACCACTTCAAGTGTTATTACCACTTCAAGTGTTGTCATCATCAAAAGCATGTTATCTTCAAAGCTAAGAAATTGCTTCATAAGTCTTTCCACGAGCTTTATCATTTTACGTCACTTTTTTATTATACATACAAGCACATAGATCTACACATTGGTCTCTTGCAATCCAAGATAAGTTAAATCAATTTGAGAGAATTAATGTTTGAGAACTTGTTCCCAAACCTTTATCTAATATAGTGGTTGGAACCTGAAACAACCGGCTGAAAATCATCAAAACAATGAAGTCGCCATCGAACGTCTTTTATCCCACATGAAGGGAAAGGTAAACATCTAGGAAACCTGAAAAGGGTGAAATCGAGGTCTTGCGACCGAGAGATAAGGGTAAGGGAGTCTGTTACGCGAGGGGAAGGTATTAGCACCCCACACGCCCGTAGTACTCTACGGTATCCACTCTTGTTGTCTATCTTATGGGTGTGTCTAATCTATGCTTACTGTTTACTATACTATTGAAGGGAGAATGCATGCAAAGAAAGAGGAAAAGAATGTAGGGAAAATAAAATTGTGCTCGTTTGGGCCCTACCCCAATGCCTACGTATCCGTTTTTAGGAATCAGAGCTACCGTAGTTTGGCTTATGTTTTTGTTGATTTGTATTTTTTAATGAATAATATTAATTTCTCCTTCTGCCGCAACTCGACCTTTGGAGACTTACGCGTTAGCACATAAGTGAATTAACATGCTCTTTCGGAAAAGGTTTGGAGAAAATGTGCCTGGGCGCACAAAAGTTTTGAATTTGTTTGTTTTTGACGAACAACATTAATTTCGCCTTCTGCCGCAACTCGACCTTTGGAGATTTACGCGTCAGTACAGAAGTGAATTAACATATTCTTTTTGAAAAAGAGTTTTGAAAGAAAGGAAGGCCCAAAGGCAAAAAGAGTTTGTATTTGTTGGTGTTTTTTGCTCGTAGATGACAACTATTTAATCTCAAGAGAGAGATTTTAGCCATTTCTCTACTTATTCATGAAATGAGTCTTTGATACTTGAACCATACCAAAGCTTAGAATACGAGAATAATAAGGTCGAGAAGAAACCCGCTTATCATCTCTCAAACTTATCCAAGACATGGTTCTTGTCAGTAAATTTCTTTTTTTTGTATTTTTGAAGTTTGTAAAAAAGGAAATTTTTGTTATTATAAATGCATATGCGAAAAGGGAAAGAAAAGTTATAGGGAGACTAGCCTAAACCTGATTCTATCACACTTCATATGATCTATGGGACAAGATAAATGCGAGGTAAAAATAGAAAGAAAGTATACCAAACGGATACTAGCCCGTAGAGCAAAGCAGAAAAAGCAAAGATGCTTGACGATCTCGTGAGCTGTTACCATCAACAAAGAAAAGAGTCAGAAATCCCATATTCAGAATGATTATTGAAGCATCTTTTAATGTGAAAATAAATCACAATCGGCATCTCGAGTGTATCCATATAAAAACCTGCATAAGACTCTAATCTTGACGAGCAAAGTGAGTTACCAGTTTTGAGTAATCGAATAATCAGGAATTAATTCTTAAAGGCAAAATAATAATAAGTTCTCCTCTTTTTTTTTTATTTAACCATTTGAAATAACCATTAAATAAATGAATAATAATAAAAGGAGAAAAAAAATTCCAAAACGACGGTGTTTACTGTAAACGGCCCCCTCCAGCTCCTTTACGCAGAAAGCCTTTCTTCTACATTCGAAAACAACAATGGCGATGCCGCCATGACTCCATCCCTTCTCCCTTGTTCTGATTCAACTTTCTTGTTAACACCACTTAAAGTCTCCCTCTGAATTCGACTCCTTTGCTTGCTTTCGTCAATTTCTCTTCCTCTATCCCGAATCTAACAATGAAACTTAAGCTCTACATTTCTTCCGATCAAGATTACATGGTGGATTTATCGTTCGCCGCATTTTACCCTTCGCGGTTATGGTACAGACCAAGCAAAAAAGTCATAAACAGAAGAAGATTGAGGGTTACCAATTGAAGACACGTTGGTAGCGCTTCAGAAATCCAGAGATGAAGTAATAAAATTATTGTCCTTCTTGATCTTGTCTGCTTCGTCTTGATCCTCTCATCACTGTCTTCACTTTTCTTTGGTATGGGGGTTGCGTGCGTTGGCGATAGGAGAAGAGCGGAAATGATGACAATTATGAAGATTATCGCAAGTTGAGAAAAATGAACTTTGTATGATGAATCAGAGAGAAGTGAAGCTTTGAGAACTAACTGAAGGTCGAACAATGGAGAGTGGAGGTGAAGACGGAGTTTAGAGAGGGGAAATTGAAGATTATGAGAGTTCAGAAAAATTGAGAGTGAATGATGGAGAGGGAAGAAGTTGTTTTGAAGCTGATACAATGATGAAGTTTTGAAACTGGAAAAGAGAGAGTGACTTCGTCCCTTGAAACTTGGAGGGAGTTTGGATTATATAGGTAGTTGAGGGAGATGGAAATGGTTAAGTGAGAATCAATCCGAATCATTGATTTGGGTAGAGTTTGTTAGGGATTGAAGGGTGAGATTGAGAGTTCGTTACAAGGTGGTTATGCTAGTTAGAAATTCTGTTTGGAGGTTTTGTTGTGTATTGTTAAAACAGTTGGGATTTTCTGTTGAAGTTTGTTATGGAGGTTGTTAGTAAGTTGTTGGAATTTGGTTATGGGAATTAGTAATTCAGTTTGCAGGTTAATTTTGGAATAGGCTATTTAGAATTTTGTTTAGAAAATTCTATTATGTATGTTGGTAGAAGCGATGATGTGGATCGTCTTGCACAGGAACAGCTGCGTCAGCTGAATTGTCTGAAGTGCTTCCATCAAATGAAGGCATGCCCATTGATGACATATCAGGCATGCTGTGAAACATCGGATTCAATCTAGTAATTCTTTTGACAGTCTCTTCAGCCATCTTCACCTTTGCTCTCAAAGTTTCAACATCAGCTTGTCCACAAAGTCAATAAAATCAATGCACCCACTTTTCGTAAGAAAAATAGAAAATATCAGAGAAGACAAGCCAGTCCTGCCAGCAATTTATCTCTGAATTTGTTAATTTGGATAGTTCTACAATTCTATCAATAACTGCTTCACAAATCATCTCTGAAGAAAAAACAGCACCAGCAGTACTCCCTTGAAATGAAGGCCTGTGGCAAGGAGCAAGTACCAGTACTCGTCTCCACCAATCAGGTGAAGGTGTGGTATGGAGAGCATGCCTGATGCAACGTACAACTCTCTCCCAGTCCAAACTTCCCTTCTGAATAGAGGTTGTAATATCCTCTCCTTGCAATGGTTCTCTAAGTACACTTAAATATGAGAGTGGTGATAGTCGCAGGTGAGCTATTGCTTCGTTTAAATTTGAAATAGTAGGTGTGGTCTGGTTTAGGATCCGATGAGTCCCAAATGTAGGGCAATGAAGATGCTGGTCTAACATTTGCATGTGCAGAGCCATCATGTCTCGTCTCCTGTGGATCTCCAAGATAAGTGTAAATAATGCTTCATCATCAGGTATATTTTCTATGAATTGAAAATCACTACGTAATAATTCATAAAAGGGAACCTGACATTTTCCCTCATCAACTAAAAGCCAGATCACATGCAAGCAACTATGTATCCAGGCAATTACAGTTTTGTCAAGTCTCCATGACTTCAGAATAACAGATTCATCAACTTCATGTTGTCTCTGGTTCCAATTCACCAGCCAGTTGAGCATATGGTTGAAGATTCCGGCATATGTCACAGGTTTTAAACTGAACTCCAGACCAGTTAAAATGATTTTGCAACATAGCTGGCGAAGGTTACTGTTACTGATATCATTATTTTCAACAGACGGTCCGCCTCTTAGTTTAGATTGTAATTGACTTGAGGAAATATCAGATGATGGCTCAATCGATGGCTATGTAGGGGAGTCAATAGTATGGACAGAATTCAATGGAGATGCAGGATTTGAAGACTGAAAATTAGAAGAATTAGTAATTGTATTTAGAGGAGGCAACATTCCTGACTGTGATAAGCTAGAAGAGGTAATTGTTGACACTGCTTGACTGATTTGATCAACCGGTAATTCTGCCGAAGAAACTGAAGAAAAAGGGACGGAAGAAAGGCGTCCCAGTTAATGCACCAAATACCGCTCAAGCTTCGAAAAATAAAAATAAGAAAGTCTGATCGCGACCCATGACCACTACACTGTGCAACCAATGGTATAAGAACAGCTTCAACCACGAAACGTAATTGCTCATGGTCCGGAAACTGGCTCTGAAGTTGCTCAAAATCTAAAATGAATTGCTCATTTGGCGGTGGAAGCTCTCTGTTAATAGCATGCACGCGTTTTTGCGCTTTGTTCGGTGGTTCGTGGAGTGAGTCGTCGGGTTTGTTGCGGCTGTTTCTTACAAGTCCTAAGTAGAGTGAGGAGATCGAGAATCGGTACTCGAGCAGGGTGGAATTGAACAGAACGCGATGGTGGTGGTGGTGTTGTTAGTGATCGCTGGTTCTGAGATTGATCCATTTTCACGGTTTCATTCAGTTACTTGGGGTTTTGTTATTGCAGTATTTTGTTTGTATCTTGTTAGCATCCAAAAATTTATTCCAACTTTCCTTAGTGTTTCTATTGTTTCAGGAACTCCATCCTGTAAGCGATCTTCTATCGCCGTAACACCAAGGATTTCCAAGTCATGTTTTATTCTTTGGCAGACCTCAGCTACTCTCCACTCCCTATCAACCAAAGTGCTACTAGCTTCTTTAAACATCAAAGACCAATCTTGATATTCATCTTTCTTTAACTCGCGCCAAACCAAACATAGTGTACGTAATCCCAAGTGAGCATATTGTTCCACAGCTTTAATGAAGTGACGAGTTTGCTGCCCAGCACGAGCATATGGAAGAATAGCCTCATCTGCTCCCTTTGACAGGAGAAGGATCTTTCCATCTTGGCAATATTTCAACACTACTGACATTCTTTTCCTATCAGAAGTGAACTCTAAGATCTCCAGGACTTCATACTGAAGTATAGTAGTGTTGAACTTGGCTTCAAGAATGTTTCCACTTTTATTGACGAAAATCATATGCGGCTGAGAAACAGTTTGATCAAGAGCATCTTCATCCTGAGATTGTGCCTTATACAAGATATCTCCAGTTTTGCTTCGTGTGGGTATGACAGTATTACATATTGCCATGTAAGAAATAGTACAACATCAGGAGAACCACTGGAAACAGCATTAAGGAGCTATACATCTTTCAATGCATCTCCACTCTCATTTCCATAGAAAATTCCATTAATACAACATCTTCTGAATATCATCTTATTTTTAGTCAAGGTGCCTGTTTTGTCTGTCAAAATGTACTCTATTTGTCCAAGGTCCTCGCTTATCGTTGTATTTGTTGCATGAGATGGAATGCTAGTCTCTAGGTCAATCATTATATGGTCCCAGTCAATAAACTTTGCATACAAGCTCTTCATGAAATCCAGAGATACCTTAATTGAAATGGGTATCATGATGGAACAAAGAAGCTCGAACCGCAAAGGAATTACCATAGTTTGGAACTATAATATGGGATGAACAAATAGTAGTTATGGAACCAACATTTCCTGGTGCAACAGGTTCACCGTTAACTCTCTCCCCAACTTCATTATCAACCTTCAAAAATTCAGTTAGTAAAAACCCTTTCATAAATTTTAACAATCATCCTTTGTACTTCCAAATATTAGACCTTCTTTGAACAATTCTACTTCCTTAGGTAAAGTCAAATGCATACAATCACAACAACAATTTATCTATTGAGAGCACCGTGGCCATCGTATATTCTAAAGAAATGGATTGTCTGCTAATTAACATCCTTGTTGTTAATTCTCTCATATTTTGTATGGGTTGCAGCATGACTTAAAGGCGGGACCATGGAGGATAAGGCTTGAAGAAAGGACGTGCAAGGTGGAGTCAAAGGAGACTTGGTAAAGAAAATGAAGAATGAAGATTAGATTGTAGGCTTAATGTGAACTTTGTAGAATTGGTCAAAAGTGTAATCTCTTTCTATCTTTTCCAGTATTGTAATGACAATTGAAATTGGATTTGGAGTGTAACTTTGATTCATATAGGGGAATATGACTTATTTTAAAAAAAATGATAAAGTTTGAATTTCCCTCCATTATGCTTTAATTTGAATGAATCTTCAAGCATCTAATATTTTCTCCAATTTTCAATCTTGAACCTTGCTTTCATATTATTGTATTTCATTTGGATTCTTCAATATTTCTCGGATGAGTTTTGTGATACTTGGTATCCTGGAGATGAAATACGACTTGAATCTTTCTTTCCCTCTAAAAGCTTCTTTTAACCTTTCAAATTTTGCTTCAAATTACATTCTTTAATATAACACATCATGAGGTCAGATACTCTCAGTCAATCAAAGGAACTCAAGTAAGATATTGTCAAAATATTGGATGCAACTATGATCCAATACACCACGTTCACCTCAAAGCCTCGTGTGAGAACCAAAGACATGACTTGTATGGCCTAAGCAATGTGACATCTTGATTCTCAAGTGTGATCGGTGGATCTGGAACTGACTGTTTAACGCTGGTTCGCGAAATGTCGCGGTAAGCAAGAGTCGCCGCCGTCTTTTATTTTCTCCAAATGGAAAGGACAAAAGCACAGAAAAATTCCTTAAAGAGATTGCTCTCGGTTCGGGAGGTAGATTATAGAAAGGGAAGGTGTTAGCACCCTTTCTATCCATGGTTATCCATGGGCTCTTAGATACTTGCTCATTGTGTTTTCAAAAATGGTTTGTTTGCTTTTCAACTGTGGGTTTAAAAAGTTCCTTTGAAAATTCCAGTTCGACTCTTGTATCTGTCCTCAAGAGTGTTTAAAAAATTGCTTTCGAAAGCTTTTGAAAAGGGGTCGGTGTGAAAAGTATTTTGTTTTGTTTTGAAATTTAGAGCAAGTATCTAGAGTCGTCTACCTACCCTAAGGAATTCGGCTGTGTAAATGTCCTTTAAAGTAGTGCTATCCCACCATTGAGAGGTAGGTAGCACCACCATTGAAGGTGTTCGGGTCAATTCGAGGTTCGGGACATGGTGATCACCAGAGCAATAGGAAGATACCTTAGAAGCTACCCTCATGCCAGGTTCCCGGATCATGAGGACTTACTAAGACACCCTCTACTCGACGATCACCTTTCGAAAGGCAAGGCAACAGTGAGGCGTACCCTAGGGGTGGTGTGTGATTTGTGTGTCGGATTCATTTATTTTTGTCTTGTCATGTCATAGGTGATCTACGCGTTTGTTTTTATTTTTGTCATTCATTCTTGTATGCATTTATTAACAGTCAAAAAGTTGCGAGAAAGATAAAGTTCTAAACTATTACAAAGGCGCGGGTCCACATCGCCAAAATTTCTAGGACCCGATTTGACAGAAAAATAAAGAATTAAAGTGCGAGGAATTTAGAATGTCTGAGTTTACAAGGCTTTGGGAGAGTTACATAAATAATTAAAAGAAACGAGATAAAACGCGCAAATTGAAATAAGATTGGAAACGAGGGCGTTGGACCCTTTTTAATGAAATTAAATTAAATTATTAAATTAATTAAAATTAAAATGAAAATAAAAAGAGAAAAGATTTTATTGAGTTTTTGGAGTTGTGAATTTTTATGAGAAATATTAAATGAAATTAAAATTAAATTAACCCTAATTCTATAACTTTTATTTATTAAGAAAAAAAATATTAAAGTTAAACCTAAATTAACCTAATTATTTATATGCAATTTTGATTTATAAAAAATAAATAATATTTAATTATTAGTGAAAAGAAAAGAAAAAAAAAATAAACAATTGATCAAACCCTAGTTCTACCAATTTTAAGTTTATTAGAAAAATATTAAGATTTACTCCTAAATTAAAACTAATTGATTGATACAAAACTTTATTTACAAAAATATTAGTTAAATAACAATATATTTAATTTTGTCTTTTTCTGATTTTTTATTGTTTTTATATTTTTACGAAAAATAATTAAATTAAAGAATTAAATTAAAAAAGGAAATAATTGAATCAAAATAAAAAATAAAATAAAATAGAAAAGATGTTGCAAACCTAGGGGGGTCTGTCCCCAATTGAGAGGTGTATTGTAGCAATTCTGGCCCAAGGTTTTAAGGCCCTTTTTGACTTCCCTTGCCAGCGTGTGAAGGTGTTGACTCATGTCCACTATGTTCCTCAAACTGTGGCCCTCTGATTGATCTTGGCATATGCGTGGCAAGCTGGATGGTGAGTTGCATGGTAGACTCCCTGTATTGAAACTGCATAGGATGATAATTAAAGGAAAAATATAAGGAGAGGGGGGGAGACCTGGGATCGAACCCAGGTCCTAGAGATTACCACTACCAAGCCTTGCCACTGAAGCACTCTACACGCGTTGTATAATGAATAACAATCAATTAATATAAAATAAAACAAAGCGTTGGTGTCTTT